CATGGTTTTGTTTATGGTATCGTTTATACCAGGTTTTTTAACATAACTATTTATATTACAAACTCCTCGATAAACTTTATTGCAGTAACATGCTTTCTCGCTCCGTTATGTGACATCACAATTTAATATTTATTGTTTAACTACACCCCCTTCTATACACTCACCATTTCACCTTCTATAGAGTAAAAATTCTGTAACCTCACACTAAATATTACCCTTCAAAACCAATTAATAAAAAAAAATTACCCACCCTATTATTTAAATCATCATCCCCTTCATCTAAGTAAACACTTACATATCCACCTCCCCTAAACGCAAAATTAACTCACAACCAACCTACACATTCAATCCTTATTTCCTTTTCTTCCAATATAAAATTCAACACCATTAATTTATCCATCTATATACCATACATCCCATAATACTTCTTCACTAATTCAATACATTTCAATCTCCCCCCCAAATCATAACACCATCTTACCTAATTGAACTCTCATCAAAACACCTCACTAAAATAATAATTATAGCTCTCACACACAAATCCAATATATTCATTATTAATATTTTTAAAAAACCCCAACTCTAGCCTCCATCCCCATTTCAAACTTTCCCCCGCCTTCCCCCATACATATCACAAAAACCCCCAATCAACCCCATGCAAACACTTCATGTCATATTCACATGCCTAGGAATTCAACAATTCAACATGTTTTATAACCTACATGCTCCCCCAATCATCCAGTTATGCAGCTATCCACCTAATATGTACCCAAAACACTACCAAAAAAGTTAAACCGACTAATACACCCCCTCCTAATGTACATACAAGTTACACAACTAATTGTGCCAGTGTAGTGTAATGAAGGTGTTTTCGATAAAACCAATAAATATTAAATGTTCTGACCCCAACGGAGGAGTCAATATTTAACAGCCAAACCTGAAACCTAGATTGATACAACCATAATTACTAACCACAAACCCATACCACTCCCAATCCCCCCCACCCAATCCCCCACCACCTTCACTATCACCCCCCATTCACCATACACTAGGCAAACGAAAACCCTGAAAAAACATATTACAAAACCATGAAATAACAACCAACAAAACCAAACAAACCATGTCAAAACAAAACAATGACAAATAAAACCCATAACAAAACCTGAAAAACCTAAAAAAATATGACAAAACAAAACATGATCAACTATAACCATTACAAACCAAAACCCCTTAAAAACAAAACCAAGACACAAAATATCACAACCCATACTGAAACCCATAAACAACCTATAAAAACCTGAAAAATATAAAAAACCCTGGAAACAACAAACCCAGCACAAACACACCATGGAAATAAAACCATGAAAAAACATTCCAACCCTGACAGACAACAATGAAAAAATAAAACCATGCCCCCCTCCCACCCCCCCCCACAACCCCCATCCCCCAACCCCATCCAAAACCCACAACACTACAACCCCCCATTAACCAACATCCCTTCACCCCCACCCCAGTACCCATACCCCCCAAAAACAAAAAAACAATGAAAAAAAAACTATGAAAAACGAAACCATGAAAAACATATAAAACCAAACCATGAAATAAAACCATAAAAAACATAAAAAACCATGAAAAACAAAACAATGAAAAATAAAACCATGAAACAAAACCATGAAAAACATAAAAAACTATGAAAAACAAAACCATGAGAAACATATAAAACCATAAAAACCAAAACCATGATATAAAACCATGACAAAAATATAAAACCATGAATGAAAACCATAAAAAACATATAAAACCATGAAAAATATATAAAACCATGAAACAAAACCATGAAAAAAAACCATGAAATAAAACCATGAAAAACATATAAAACCATGACAGACAAAACAATGAAAAATAAAACCATGAAAAACGAAACCATAAAAAACATATAAAACAATGAACCAAAACCATGAAAACCAAAACCATAAAAAACATATAAAACCATGAACCAAAACCATGAAAACCAAAACCATGAAAAATAAAACCATAAAAAACGAAACCATGAAAAACATATAAAACCATGAAATAAAACCATAAAAAACATATAAAACCATGGTTTTCAAACAAAACAATGAAACCAAAACCATGATATAAAACCATGAAAAATAAAACTATGAAAAACGAAACCATGAAAAACATATAAAACCATGAACCAAAACCATGATATAAAACCATGAAAAATAAAACTATGAAAAACGAAACCATGAAAAACATATAAAACCATGAAACAAAACCATGAGAAACATATAAAACCATAAAAAACATATAAAACCATAAAAACCATGATATAAAACCATGAAAACCAAAACCATGAAATAGAACCATGAAACAAAACCATGAACCAAAACCATGATATAAAACCATGAAAAATAAAACTATGAAAAACGAAACCATGAAAAACATATAAAACCATGAAATAAAACCATAAAAAACATATAAAACCATGAAAAACAAAACAATGAAAAATAAAACCATGAAACAAAACCATGAAAAACATAAAAAACTATGAAAAACAAAACCATGAGAAACATATAAAACCATAAAAACCAAAACCATGATATAAAACCATGACAAAAATATAAAACCATGAATGAAAACCATAAAAAACATATAAAACCATAAAAAACATATAAAACCATTGAAAAAATATATAAAACCATGAAAGACAAAACAATGAAAAATAAAACCATGAAAAAACAAAACATAAAAAACATATAAAACCACCAAAACCAAACAATGAAAACCAAAACCATGAAAAATAAAACCATGAAAAAACGAAACCATAAAAAACATATAAAACCATGAACCAAAACCATGAAAAAAACCAAAACCATGAAAAATAAAACCATAAAAAACGAAACCATGAAAAACATATAAAACCATGAAATAAAACCAAAAAACGAAAAAACCATCATGAAAAAACCATGAATATAAAAAAAACCATGAAACAAAAACCATGAAACCATGAAAAAACAAATCATGAAAAACATATAAAAAATATTAAAACCATAAAAAACATATAAAACCATAAAAACCATGATATAAAACCATGAAAACCAAAACCATGAAATAAAACCATGAACAAAAACCATGAAACAAAACCATGAAAACCAAAACCATGAAACAAAACCATGAAAAATAAAACCATAAAAAGCATATAAAACCATGACAAAAATATAAAACCATGAATGAAAACCATAAAAAATATATAAAACCATGAAAAAAACCATGAAACAAAACCATGAAAAAAAAACCATGAAATAAAACCATGAAAAACATATAAAACCATGAAAGATAAAACAATGAAAAATAAAACCATGAAAAACATATAAAACCATGAAACAAAACCATGAAAAACATAAAAAAACTATGAAAAACAAAACCATGAGAAACATATAAAACCATAAAAACCAAAACCATGATATAAAACCATGAAAAACATATAAAACCATAAAAGACATATAAAACCATGAAAAACAAAACAATGAAAACCAAAACCATGATATAAAACCATGAAAAACATATAAAACCATAAAAGACATATAAAACCATGAAAAACATATAAAACCATAAAAGACATATAAAACCATGAAAAACAAAACAATGAAAAATAAAACCATGATATAAAACCATGAAAAAAAAATTTAACCATAAAAATCCATGAAATAAAACCATGAAAAATAAAACCATGAAAAACAAAACCATGAAAAACATATAAAACCATGAAAAACAAAATGTAAAGTAAAGATGCCTGTGTATTTGTCTTGCAGTGTTAAGAGCAAGTGTTTGTGTTTCCTTGTATGTATCTGCACATGTGTGTATGCTCTTACACTGAAGGGTCAAACCGGAAGTGCATTGTGTTTTACCCAATAAAAGACGCGGTGCGCTTGGTGCGTGGGATTGAGCCGGTCAAAGAGACTGATGAATTGTGTGTGTGTTTTCTTCCGTAAATAGTTTGTGTTACCACGGTTACCCCGCCCTTATAATGCTGCGATCAACAAAAACAAATAAAACCATGAAACACAAATGAAACCATGAAACACAAATGAAACCATGAAAAACAAATAAAACCATGAAACACAAATGAAACCATGAAACACAAATAAAACCATGAAACACAAATGGAATCATGAAACACAAATAAAACCATGAAACACAAATGAAACCATGAAAAACAAATAAAACCATGAAACACAAATGGAATCAGGAAACACAAATAAAACCATGAAACACAAATGAAACCATGAAAAACAAATAAAACCATGAAACACAAATGAAACCATGAAACACAAATAAAACCATGAAACACAAATGAAACCATGAAACACAAATGAAACCATGAAACACAAATAAAACCATGAAACACAAATGAAACCATGAAACACAAATAAAACCATGAAACACAAATGAAACCATGAAAAACAAATGAAAGCATACAAAAGTCCACACTATATAAACCATAAAAGCTGACACCATGTGCCTCTCACATGAGCCTGGAGTAACCATAAGTGTGCTGCAGGTGTAGAAGTGAAATGTAAGCCAGTGCATGGAGTAAAGTGAGTGCAGTGCATAAACAAAAGACAAAGGAGGAATGGGCGCAGTGGCTCTCAGCAGAGTCCACCAGGACAGCTCCAACCCATCTGCTCAGAAGACAAGTTGGACCTTCCTAAACTAGTGTTTAGATGCAGCGGAACTGCTTAAACCACGATTGAGTCCTCTGGAAGAAGCTCTTCTTCTTTGGTGAAGCATCACCTAGAATAACATATTTTAATAGCACACTTTTTGTACATAATGTAGAGGAAGTGAGTAAAGGCAGTCTCACCTGAAGAGGGCGTGTCAGAGAAGGTATTTTGGCCTGGAGGCAATACTGGTTTCTCCATGGATTTGTCGCAGAGAGATGTGGGCTGCACTTTGGCCGTTCGTTTTTTCCACATAATATTAATTCTAGAACTGAGGACACAGTTATAGGGGTCAATGCTTTGCTATTCTTACAGACAAAAACAAATGGTTTACATTTCTGACGTGTGCTGGTGAGGCTTGTCTTCCTGAGACACTGTGGTGAAACTGGACACACAGTGAGTCCTCTGGAGGAAGCTTTTCTTCTTTGATGAAGTGTCACCTAGAATAATACATTTTAATAGTAAAAATGTTGATATACTGTTGATGAAGTACGTAGAGGCAGTCTCACATAAAGAGGGCGTGTGACAGGAGGTATTTGGGCCTCGAGGCAATACAGGTGACTCCATGGATTTGTCGCATGAAGATGTGGGATGCACTTTGGCCGTTCTTTTTTTCCACTTCCTTTTCCCTGTGTTGTGGCCTGACACAGACACGAGGGATTTCGGGACAGGGTCAGTCTTCTCTGTTGGAGCTGTTTTTCTCTCCTTACTGTAGAAAACATAACTTATGTTTGATATATTTCACGGACTACAGAAAAACATTCAGAACAAACCAAAGGGTTTCCTCACCTGCCACTTTGCTTGTCCACCCTCAGAAATTTTAAAAGTCTGTTTTGGATCGACTTGGATTTATTTGCTGCATCTTTGACTGGGGCACTCGTGTCTTCTGTTTGGTGGACCTCCCTGCACAATAATAAAACATGATTAACCTGAACTTTGAATCACTCCAGTGATGGGCAAGCTTTTTGATTTGTCTTGTGAGCGAAACTACAATCTACTCTACAATAAATTCAGCTTCACTACACAGAAACTAGCACCCATAAACATTTAGCAAACTGAGTTACTAAATCCTGTCTAAAAAAGATTGATATAGATATACTTTCAATTAAACAAACTGCAATTTTTATTATCAATACAACTGTTCGTCAGATAAAGGTTAAAATATTTATAATATATAATAGCCTAATTCACCAAAAAACTAAACTCAATAATTTCTTTTGAAATTTTAAATAAAATAAAGTGAGAAAAAATTATAGCAAAGAGCCATCACAAATTAAGTGAGAAACTACTTAAGGTCTATTCTAAATAATAAAATATATTCATTTCAGTCTTGCATAGACTAGCAGTAGACCTCTGCAGGTTAGCATGAATTATCTAACTTTTTGAAGTTCACAAGTATTCAATTACTCTTATTTTATCAATGAAACATAGAATTAGAACAGACCAAATTAAGTCTTACCTTCCACTGATTTGGCGTTTGTCCGCTGAAGGTTTTTCGACTGTTTCCACCTTGACCAAAGAAGTCTTCAGCAGAGTCTTCAAAAGACCCTGTTTGCGACTCTTCTCTTGGACTGATTTCCGAATCCTCCCACTACATCAACAAAAACCACAACATCTCATCAGACCTAACATGTCGAATTAGTGGATTAGCTTTGCATAAATACATAAATAATAAATGTGCTCATGGATGTTACTGGTCACTCTTGAGGGTCCACGGACTCCTGCTCTCTTGTTTTAAAGACTATATGTTTTACGGATCTAGATTGTTTCTCACACAGGGAATCTTAAGCATGT